TATATTACTGTATAATATTGTAAAATATTTATTATTATATTATGTTATACGCATATAGTATCGACGGAAGAAAATAAATTGCCTGTGTGGCGCGCGTGGGCACGAGGCGCGTGTGTACATAATAACGTTGAGGATATAAGAAATAGAAAAACGGTGCGTGAACGAACGATAGTCAGAGGGGGTGGGGGGGAGGTGAACCATGCTTGTACGGTGGAGAGTATACATATTTAATATCATATTATTATTATTATTATTTCATACCTACCAAAATATCAATATTGCGTATTATGATGTTGGGTACTCCTCAAAGAATCCCGAAACGATAATGTTCCATATATACACATATCGTATATTATATAAGAGCCATACGCGATACGCGATAAGAACAAATGAATTAAAATTAGAGGTACCGCCAGAGGCTCCACAAGTGGGAGGGCGGTCAGACACTCAGACCTGGAGTACAGGGGCCCCGTTGAAATTTTAATTTTTTTAATTTTTTATAGGAATACTTATTATATATTAAATTATATTTTATAGAGCCCCGCAAAAGCACGTTTAGTACAGGGGACCGCAATTTTATATAGGGGGGGGAGGGATGTAGGTACCTACCAATAAAATATTTTACTGCTCTGTAGAAACCGTTTTAAGCAGCGGTTCGCGGGGGACGATAAATAATAATAAATTCGTGAAACCCGACAAAGTCTTACTGCGGTGTTCGACAAACGTCCGATAGGATTAATAATATCATAAAATAATAACAATTGAGTAATTATATCATAATAATAATAACGCGTATATACGACTATACAATATAATATTATTATTATTATTATTATTATTATTATTATTATTATCATCGTGTGTGTGTGTACATAACGATAATATTATATTCACCAGATTATTATGACTCGTCACGTTTGGCTCGTTGTACATGCATATTATACTGTATAGAGACGCTTTAATACTATGACGACACTATTACGACTTGCATGACTATATTATCTGTGAACGTGTGACTGGGTAGAAGTTGATAATTCGACTGTTACACAGTATATATAGTGAACTTTTTTATGGTAAAATATATTATCAGACCTAAAATGTACACGGATATCGTAGATTATCCAGGTGACAAGAGAACAACAATATTTCGATTGTTTTATCGCGCACCAGAAGCACTGAATTAAAACCACAATATAACTTTCTATAATTATAATATGATTTCCAAACATTTCGATAGAGGTATCATATTATTAATTTAATATCGATATGATAATTGTACGATATAGAAACGCGAACGAAAAAAATGTACTTTCATATTTTTATCTAATTAGTTTTAAAATATGTACATTTGTAAGTGTCCCGAAAATCGATCAAAATCTGTAAAAAATATTTTGAAATAATCAAAATTTAAAACTTTAGATCATTGAAAAACTATAAGCCTAATGTATAATACAACTCAGCTATGGCTCAGTCCGTAATGCTTTTGAATATCATCAACTCTTTAAAGTCATCAATAGGTGGTTACAAATCTAATAATTTCTATGAATACCTATTTTATAACATATTATAATAGACTAAACCATACGGGTATTATTATTATTAATGATTATAATGTGCAAATTAGACCTAATGTTAAGTCATTTCAATATTTCAAAAATAAATTCTACACTCCGATGTACCTATTTTGCCTATATTTTGCCCCGTCCAAGACAAAGAGTTAATACACGCACGGACAATATTAAATATTGCGTAGTTATATGGATATATTGTGATACAAAAACGGTCTTCCTCCGACGCGGTATGGAAGTTTATTATTTATCAATTTGAAAAAATATATATTCCAAATAATCGAGAATGAACCGAACGGTTATTATGATGGCCTATAGTGTAATATCACGGTCATATTTTACAGCGAGTCGTTTTGTGAATCGATTTTTTTTCCTTTTGGTCTTCCGAATTGACACAATCGTTTATCTGATACGATCGCATTGCGGTCCACCCGAATTAAGGCGACGCGTTGTTTTTAGTTTATCGAAATTCACATCCATCATCGTTTCATACGCCGCGTGCGCCGATCTTACGACGTGCGTACATTATAATACGAAAATACGGTGATGTACAAACACCCTGTGTAATATAAAAATGTGTGACGTGTGTATGCGTGTGTGTGTTGTATTCACGTGAACGTCACGCGTGACATTTAATTAGCGCGATGGCTCGGCGCGCGAAGTTGTGCGTCGACTTTGGCGTGCGCGTCGTAATCGACGAACCGTGGATTACGCAACTCCTCCTCCTCCCCCCCCCCTTTCTGTATACAAAAGCAGTACACCTGGCGACCCGGTCAGGTCGAGATGTTTCGAAAAATATATATATATATCATATTATCCCGTTAATAACTATACCTATATCTATACGCGGAATGAAATTCTCGTGCTGCAAACGCGAATCGGATTATTACATAATAAGTGTTTAAATAATTCAGGTCGTCGATGCGTGTATACGGCCGTTCCGGGGGTAGGCGCAATGACGTATTTAGGGAGTGGTCTGAGGGACGGTCGGAGCAGAGGGGGTGGTCACTCCGGGTGATTGCACAGTACGTGAGCAATGGAAATTATTTTTTTCGTCATAATGTGATAATATTGACACAGTACGTTTTTGCGATGTCGATAGAAAGCGTGAAAAAAAATTAACCTAACCCGAGCCCGCCGAATGGGCATTGCTGATGTGACGTCACTGCCTCGCTGACGTGGGCGCAAATCCAACCGGAGCTCACCCAGCAGACGTCTTCGGAGCAATGCGTTAAACGTAGACGCGATAATGTTGGCTGAAAAAATGATTTAAGGAGAGTGGCTACAGCGGTTGCTTTTTTTCGCACGGAAAATGAAATGAAAACCGTAATCCTTATATTTGTGTTTTATTCTCTTGACGGATTTGAATGATATTTCTCCAGCAAAGGTGAAAAAATCCTGCCATTGTTATCAGGGACTTCTGCGGGCAATCACATTTTTGATCTTTCGTAGGTACTCGGGGATTACGTAAAGCTTACGAATTTATCCAAAATCGTTAAAACGAAACGATACTTAACGCTGCGGATAGCATAATATGTGAAAAGCTTTCAAGAATCCAAGTCAGGCCACATTTATACCTATATAATATTTGAAGGATATTTGGCTACGATAAAACATTTCCAAGTGAAATGTGACCATCTTGTCGACCTGAAAATAATATTGTATTAATCTATGATTGTATTTCGCCATCATTGGCGAAATCCATGACGTACAACCCGCAGTAGGTTTTTTGCGATCCGAAGTCGTTTATTTTTTAAACAGTTGCACTAGCATCGTTCATGATAATAACTATAGGGCTTGGAAATATTTTTAGGAACTGAAATAGGTACGCAAAACAAAACTCTGAAGTATGCAAACATAAAGAATATCTTGCAAAAAAAATTTACGAAATTCCAAAAGAAATGTACATAGTATATATTATACGTAATATTATTGTTTATGTCGTTTATGAACATCGTTGCATTGTTAGTTATATATTACTTTATTAAATATTGTCTTCTATATAATATTACATAAAAGCGAATGTATGTTTGTTGGTCTGTCATTTATGCTTTCCCACACTATTGATCCGATCTCCATGAGACTTTTGTGTCGAGCTTTGGGCACCCCGAGAAAGGTTTCTAAACTATTTTAAACGAAATCGAACTAAAAAAATGTATGCACTACACGCATAACGTGTATGATAACTGATAAGATTTCGTGATAAGCTTTTTAATGTAACATAAACCGTAACGACATTACCGTTTAAATTGATGCGAGTCTCAAGGGCTATTTTGAGATTCTAAATGGTCGATGAAAATTTTGAACTTAATTGCACCGAATACTAAATAGTAAAGCCCAAAGTTTGAATCAATATACAGAGTTGGCATTTTCAACGAGCAATGAAGTTCACGGGGTCAACTAATATTAAATAAATTGAAAATTAAAAAGAAAGTTCTGGTGCGTAGGGAACAGCAGGTGACCGGTTTGTGATGTTACCTATTGAACGAAAAAAGTATCATCGGCATTAATAGGCACCTAAATATAAAGTGTTAACAAAAATACATTTTAAACATTTGTACAATATTAATAACAACATTTTTTTTGGATTTTAATTGATAAACAATTCTTTTAGAAACATTAAAAAATTAATTTACATTTACATTTGTTGCACAAAAATAAAAATGTAGACTTTTTTCTAAAATTGGGAAAGTATGAAAAATAAGCATTTTAAACCTTCGATTTTGAAACTTGTCGTTGCGAACGGTTTTTGCGAAAACAGAATACACTCTATAATTTAATTACTCTGCAAATTACTCAGTGCCATATACATGTTTTTGAATTCTGTTTGCGGGACTGCTCGAAAATAGACTGTTGGATCATTAATCTCCCGCAGACAGAATTGTAAAATATGTATAGAATACTGACTACTGATTTATGTACGTAACTGAGTTATAGAGTGTGCCCAGTTTTCGTGGACACGCTGTTTAATAGATATTAGCTTGGTTTGCCGTAAATTGAGAACACAATATTGTAATATAGAAAAATATTGAAATATGCAAAAACTACAATATAAATCTTAAGGTTTACACGGGCGGCGTGAACCACGAGAGTTAACCACACACTTTAGACTCAAACATGTTTGATTTTCAATCGTGAGAATTTCCTGGCGTTCCCACGGGAGGGTTCTCCCTCCCCTAGAATTTTCAATTTTCACTTCGCTCTTTGCCCGAACATATTATCTACCATGTCGATTGTTCATTTTAAATTACCTCTGGCCCCCTCCTTAGAAAAAACAAAAACGTCTGTCGACGACCACGCGTGAGATGAGCGCAATTGTGGCGCGGTACACCCTCGCAACTCACGTCTCGTGTAAACCCAGCAAATATAATATTATAAACCATTTCACTTCCTCGGCACAATAGTAATATTTTTCACTGCCGCGTGTTTCAGGCCGCCCAAGGAGCAGTCCGGCTGGAAGGGGACGTGATCACCTCGCACGGGTCCGTGTCCAGCCTGCCGATGGGCAGCGCGGCGGCCGTGGGTGGGTCGGGTCGGGGCAGGGGATCGTCCTCGCCCGCAGACAACGCGTCCGTGTGCACTTGCACTTGCACGCGGTCGAGGAGCCGGAACGACGGGTACCGTTCGGGTGATTCGCCGCCGTACGCATCGGGCTCCGTCTACGGAGTCGGGACCGGACGAGGCGTCGGCGTCGGCAGCGGCGGCGACCGTGACGACGGCGACGACGGGTGCAGCGGCGACGACGACGACGACGAAGACGACGACGGTTGTGAACCGCACGACATACAGCTGGAGACGTTCTACGACGGCCGTGAAACGGCGTCGACGTCGGCCGATCCGTACAGCATCCGGCAGCGCGTCGTACAAACGCAACAGCAACAGCAACAGCAACAGCAGCAACAGCAGCAGCAACTACAGAACGAACACAGGTCGTCCATTTGACGTATGTTCGCCAGTGGCGGAGGCAGCGGTGGCGACTGCGACCGCGTCGGTCATCCGTACACGCCGTTCGCATAGCTGGTGCAGTGCGCCCACCGTATATACCCATATACCGCGTACCGACCGCCGATACCGCGGTAACGATAGCGGTTCCCGGTCGCTCCGGTAGACGTGACGATGACAACGATTCGAACGCGATCGAAAAACGCGTCATACAATTGTATAATATTTTTGTCGTCGTTGCCGTCGTATGGTATCATAAAATATTAAAATATATGTTAAGTTGGTACACTGGCGGTCGATCTGCAACGGTTTGCGACTCATCGATGTTCTCTTGCAGTGTCGTGTACGATTTCGTACGGAAAAAACCGATATTAAAAAACCGTAGCAGCCACGTGGTCGTCGAAACCTGCGATTGAGAAACTAAAAAACGATGCGAAAATCGTAATCAACGGCCGGTCGAATGCGGAGCTGCTGAAGCACAAAGGGGCCATGGCTGCGTCACACCGCAGCCGTGAAGAACGAAACAAATTTTATTAGGAACATTAAAATATTATGATGATATAATATTATATTAAACATTTAAATCAAATATTATTAAAGAATAAAAAAAAAAACGTAATTATGTACATACAAATACAATAGAAAACGCGACTCAATTTCGTATCGACAATTCTTTTGTTGGTCCTTTTGAGTTATTTTTAATATTCTTTCTAATTTTTTTTGTATTTTTTTTTTATGTTATACCTATAATACACGTTAGCGTAAACGTATTAATCAAAAATGTTAAAATAATATTATAATAGTTTTTCGTCTTTGAATAATATACTACGAACGATTCCGAAATCAAATTAATTATATAATAATATGTATATGATATAGTATATAATATTATGTGTATTATTATAATTATAATTTCAATTTTTTTTTTTTATTTAAATATTGTACATTTTTTGCTTTACACGTCAGAGCGATCATATATAATTATATTCCTTCAAATTTTGGTCTCGTTTTTCAATTTTGTTATTCATTTTTTTTATATCTTTGAATTTTTTTAATACAATTACCATTGACATTCGAATATTAAACAATAAATAATAATATTAATGATAAAATAAATTTAGTTACATTATTTTGTTTACTTATAACTAAACGTTTTAAACATTAATTTTGAAATTGATGTATATAACTATAATACATAGCTCGTATTCAAATGTTGTACATACATTTTTACATTATTTTATTATAATATATTAGCTAAAATCTATTGTTTTTAAATAAAAACCTAAAACACAAATGAAACAAAAATGTTTGCCTTGTTATTAGTTTCTACATAGGTAATTTTCCTTTAGAAAATCTAAGGTTCGGCAATCACTAATCAAAAGGTGCCAAGTACTTGTGGTCCGGTGGGGAGAACAGGGAAAATCCATCACAAAGATTATTTCCTTTAAAAATAAGGATGACAACGTATTGTGTGGAATTGGAAGTATTATTGTGTTATAATTTATAATAATACATATTTTATAGTACCTACCTTTTTTGCGACGGTTGACTTAAAGTCTTAGGTAATTTTGCAGATAATGGAAATATTATATTTTATTGACCTGGATTTTCCAGGATATATCATGGTTTAAAATTTAAAAAATAATACGATGACCGACGCCAAGATGAGCAAAGACTCATAATACTGTGATTAGTTATGATTTATCCATATTTTTGTGCGTTATCTCTAATATGATAATTATTAATATAATTGTGTATTAATTGTTTCCTTGCATTGCAGGTACTAATGTGTGCGTCAAGGAAAACTAAACATGTTTATATGTATTTTTTGGGTCTAGGACATTTCGCCTCGACCGTTTCGCCGCTGGACTATTCGCCGCCGGACGTTTCGCCGCCGACCGATTCGTCGCCGACATTTCTCGAGTTAAATATACCACCACAACTCGTACCAGAATATACCAGAGATCCAGCAGTGACACCACCAATAAGAAATAATTTACAGTGATGCCCTGTTAGCGGCACTCGTCGCTACGCTCCTCGGCGTCTTCGTTCCGCTCCGCAAATCGAAAATATCCCTCGACTTGCTATGCAACACCACCTAAAGTTGGTCACAGTGTAACCGCTGTTATACCAGAGAACAACCACTCTTATCATTAAAAAGCTTATCACAACTGCTATCAAAATCGGTAGCGGCGAATTGTCCGGCGGCGAATCGGTCGGCAGCGAAACGTCCGGCGGCGAACCGGTCTGCGGCGATTGGCGAATAGTCCAGCGGCGAAATGTCCGGGTTCGGTATTTTTTTATTACACGGTCAATATTTCTAAAATCTCAGACTATTACATCTTGAGATAGTTTACCATAATATATCAGCTAACAACATGCATTTCCAATGGTTTTCCATAAACTACGTTAAAAACATTACGTTTCAAACCATAATAATACAATTATGTTTCATGAAATGTTCTTTTTTCAATTACAATATGTCAATATCAATCGACGCGTAAGTATTGTTGTTTTAATTTTTAAATACTATTATGCAAAGCTACATACAACAATGATTCGTATATTTAAACTATTTTCTTAAATTTAATGAACCAATCGTGGTAACCAATCAATAAATCGTGTACCTAGAGCCCTAGACGATTAGCAGCTATATTAATATATTAAAATATTAAATGCTTAGTGATTGTTTATGAAACCCAACATTAAGGTATTATATAAACAGACACATGATTTATTTCACTCGCAAAATAATGTATAAAAAGCGTTTAAGAAGTGACAACTATAATAATAATTATTGCAGTTTGTTATGTGCAGGGCTCGGAACTTTAAGTGCTTAAAATCTTAAATATATGCGCATACATATGCACCAAAAAAATATAAAAATATGCGCTTGAATATGCATTTATTTTTAATTAAAAAAGACGTTAAAAAACATATCTTGTACATATTACTAAAAATTGATATGCTATACATAGGTACTATATAATAAAAAAAAATTGGATTTTTTAACACTCAGCATCTTCTTTACCTAGTAATTAAAATTATTATGTAATAAAACATAATCATTTTATAATTATATTTTAGTTGTATATTAGTTTGTTCAATCATTTGCTTGGTTCTTGTATTGAACATTTCCCTCCGTTTAATCATTTTCTTTTGTCTTACTGTTTGTTTATGTTGTATTACACTAGATAGATTCTACTTTAATTTCACATATTTTGCAAAATAAAATTCTTCCATCTGCGGAAAATACATTATCCCCAAATTCCAAAATGAAACTTCTCGACCGACTAATTTGTGTTTTTTTATTCTTTTGGCATATTAATATATTATGCCACAAATACGAGTGCTAATAAATACAAAAAATAACGAATACAAATACGAACACGACAACGATTAACGATACGTGCACACGATAACGATCGTAGTCCGTCGATCACTATATACTGGCAAACAAAATAATTCTGATAAGACAGATTAAATAAAAATAATATTGTCCTCAGAGCTAAAAATAAAATAGGTTACCATAACGCTATTGATTATCGCCTTGTCGGTATTATTGGCGACAAAATCGTGTAGATAAAATTAATTTACTAAAAAATTGATTTAAGAGTAAATAATCAAAAATTATTTTGAAATATGCAATAAAAATCAATAAATCTTAAAAATATGCATTGGTAAAAAAAAAATCCAAAATATGCAAACATAATATGCACATTAAACTTTAACTCCAAACACCACAGCACAAATATGTATCGGATCAGATATATTCTATTTACTTCCCGAACAAATATGCAAATGCATAAACTATAAAGTCCCGAGCCCTCGTTATGTGTTTCCTGTTTGATCTTTAAAGGATGCTTGTTTTTTCAATGGAAGATCAGTAATATATTAAATAAAAATACAGTGCGTTTACCAGTCCATAACTTTGAATGATTGAAATCCCGAATCAGTATGACGAAACCGTTTTGAAATTATCTTAGACGCCTTTGAAAAAATGTCCTGAAATTCTTTTTCATTTTATTTATCGGCTTAAATGGAGAACGAAATATTATGTAAACCTTTGTCGTAAGTTGAACATACTGCCGAGAGAGTGGTAAATCAATGTATCTGTAAACTGCAGTATGAAATATGAATAAAACTGTACACGTTTGAAAAGTCAATAACCTATATTAAATAGAATGTCAATAATTTTCGGTTTTAGTTACATTTTTACAATAGATCAACAAAGTGAATAAAATTGATTTTTGCTTTCCGAAACTGTTGTTGATAAGATGGGGAGGTGTATCAAACTCAGCGTGGAGCGTACCAATTGTGGACAAACTTACGAATGCATGCATCGTAGTGTCGAATGAAATTATTTCTATTTATATTACGCCAATCAGCAATAAACAATAATCATACATCTATGTAGCCAATAACAATTAAATATAACTAACAGAAATAAAGTTTAAGAGAGATACAACGATAACGATAACAAAAAGTGTACGAATGATAAAAGTAGCCAGAGAACGCAGCCAAAACAACTAGGCCATATTTAGATTCAAGAGCATTCTGTGTAGTGGATGATTGTAACCATAAACCGTAGAGTGGTGTGGGACATAAACTGGACTAGGTTTCGTGTACCGCATGTAAGAACTTTGAATGGAATTTCAACAAGTAAATTGGGAGCGTCTACGGTACCATATAGAAGGGAAGTTAAAAAGTATTATCTAGGTTATAAAATATTTACATCAACCATTGCATTATATTATATATTTAGTATAATATATTAAATTATCTAGTGGAAGAGCACTTTTTTCACTCATATCGTTAAACATACTACGCATATAAATTATAAAGGATGAGAAATCGTTACTAGTTTATGTATCTGATTAAAAATATTAGGAACATTATTAACGCCATCTGTAATTCAACAACATTTCCTATATATCTGACTTGCTCAAAACCATAAAAATAAAACAGTTTATCAGTTTTGATAGTCAAAACGATTAATATTTTAGATGGCCCTGCGATTTATGAACAAAATGAAAAAGTAAATTAATTGTTAATTGATGAAGTCTTTTGAGACTTTTATTTTTTATTTTATTAAAGCCGCAACAGCAATTGTTATTAGTACATTAATAGGTTTCAGATTTTCAATGGTTTATGCGTAGTACCATTACGATACATTAAATATATGTTATAATATATTACAGGGGCGCACCCAGAATTTTTTTTTTTTTTTTGGGGGGGGGGCTAAAATCAAAATTTTAATATTAATAGGTAGTATTTATTTTGAAATATGTACAGAAATCTTAAAGCTTGTTTACAATCTTATAAAGTTGAGACGCCTTGGTCCTTTTTTCCCCATTATTGAGAGTACTTCTGAAGTTTGAACATTGATTTCTCTGTGAATATGAAGCATAGCGGTTTGAGATAAACTAAATCGTATCGATAAAAATATATAATCTAGACGTTCCCGGTATCCTACACAGTACACAGTTTCAACTAACGACGTCGCGACGATAATAATAAACAACAGGGGTCTCTCCCGGGGCCCGGAATGACAGGTATAAATATAATATAATATTATGACATTATGTTATACCTAATGTTTAAACTCCGATAGTTGATATTTTTTTTCATAATAATTTAAAGTCAAATGTCAATTGTCAATAAACCTAATAAAATATGTTTTGGGGCTAGCCATTTGGGGGGGGGGGCTAAAGCCCGTTAGCCACCCCCTTGGGTTCGCCCTTGATATATTATATTGTACATATAATTCAGTTAATTCTATAAGCATTTAAGCACTTTTTGGTGTTTTTTAGAACTGGACTAAATTAGTGCTTCATCAAGATTTTCTGCAATTTAAAGTTGGGTTTTAACGTTACATGGCGTTTACTCAGTGGAAAATTATATATTTGAACGTGAGAAGTTCCTCGCATGTTTAGCATAGGTCTGTTCCGGTCATAAGGTGTCTATGTGAGTCTACCATGTGTAGCCGATTCGTTATCTATTTAGGATTACTTCCTATGGTCTGGATAGTGGTATGGTTGATCTGGAGACATTTTAGTGTGCTGTTTAATTTAATTCTTGGGCCATAATACCAAAAAATATACATTTTGCAATTTAAGTGTGAATTTTAATGTTTTAAATTGTGAGTTCATAAAAAAAAAACCTTCTAAGATCTCATTTGAAACTAATTGGAAGGCAGGTTTCTTATAATTTTTTATACTCAAATCCAACATTTCTTATCCTGAAACAAAAATTATTAAAAAGTTGCAAATAATGAAATGTTCACACCAGAGGCGCACTGGGCAACTATTTAGCCTGGGAATTTTGACCAACCTTTGCCAATTCGTCATCTCATAATGTAATGATTTAAATATTGGTACCAATGTTTGAATAATGATGGTTGCATCCAATACCCATCCTAAATTTTCTCAGGAAACAACTTAAAATGCAATGTGTTTAATAGTTTTTATCTTAAGTACAGAACTACAAAGTATAATGTATTACTTTTTTTAATTACTCTATAACTGAGTCAAAATTAATGAAAAACATAGGTTGGCATTAAATATTTATAACGATATAAGTGTCTCCTTTTTCTCTCTGATTTTCTCAGCACCACCCTTTCTTTTAGTTTTCATTTTAAATAACAAATAAATATTACAAAATCACTAAACAACACAAAATTGAAATAAAAAACGCTTAAAAAATTCAATTTTATGAATTAAAAACATTACATTGAACTCACGAAACTATACCTATACCTAGTTACCATCCTATATTAGCCCATCAATATTATCATATTTTATTATTGTGTACAACATATTAGGTCATATTAAGAAAATACTCGCTGGCTAGACATGGCTGTAGTAATCATTTGTTATAATAAAGTCAGATTCAGCTATAAATAGGTCGTTGATTTAAATGCAATAAAAATGGCTTAGGAAATTTGATTTTATGCTAATACATAATATGACAAAGCTTAATAAAATTCAAAGACAAATTAAAAGCCAATTTAAATAAATATAAAATTCAATATACATAAGTATGTATATTCTTTGTATTTTGTGTGTTACTTTTTTTTAGGGAATTTAAGCTAGGTTTTTTTAAAAGTGTATTTGTTTTTATAAAATTTTTGAAAAATTCCTTCAAACCATAAATATGACAATTATTGGAATTGAATTGTGTTACAGTTAATTAATTAGATAAAAAAAATGGTTTTCTTAAAATTCCACTAGATAAGTCTTAATCATTACGAAGGGGTATTAGATAGGCATCCAAACGTACATTTCAACATTGTTTTCCTTATATGGTTTCTGTAGGTACGAAAATCGATTTTTTCATACCAGGGTCCCATGAAGTTTGTGCCGCATTAACGAATTTCTCACCCAATGGCAGATTTTATTTGACCAACCTTAACCCCTTTCACATATTAACTCTAAAATAAAATAATAACAATTACACCTATTTTTATTTTTTATTCTAAAATTATTTATTTATTTATCTGTTTTTTCTTGCTGTGAATTCGTTAATACCGTCCTCTTCCAATCCTTAGGTCGCAATTTTTTGTGGACACAAGGGCCAGAAATGAAATCTTTTAATTAGTCATTAAAGAATTCTTAGGGAGTTTTTCACCCTTTTCAAGATGGAAACAATTTACTAGCTACGGATCATGGTACTGAAACGAAAAGTTTCGATGTTATTTCAACATTTAGAAACGTACAGTTAAATTTTGATCTAGCTAATGTGTATTGAAAGTCTGAATTGATTATTATTGATCATCTTCTGTTTAGCTATTTATTTAAATCGAATTATTTAATTTACATGATCGAGTTCTAAACCTGTACCGTGGCAAATTAATACTATCACTGCTTACAATATTTTTGAATCTTTTTGAGTAAAATGTTATCATTGGGTTTTTCCATTCTTAAAAAAGATTCCCGATAGGCAACTAAACGTACACCAATGCATCACATAACAATAAATTATGCGCCGTCCTCGTGACATATATTTTATGGGGCCCTGGTACAAAAATTAAATATTCCGTTTCGACCGTACCCGCAAAATTAGAGTTGTATGGTTTCCTTTATTAAACGCCTCGAAAACCTGAGTTTGTAAATGACTTGCATATGAAAAACTACGAAAATAAATTACAAATAATAACTAAAAGAATTGTCACTTAAACATTTTGTGAATAGTATCCAAGGTTATTAGTTATTTGAGTTACAAAATACAATTAAACACTTTATGTCAAAAAAAGATCTCATAAGGTATTATTATAGTTATTTAAAAATATTTAAGATAGATTAATAGATATGATTTTAAAATGCATGCCATTAACATAAATATATATCATTAATTGGGGGGGGGGGGGAGTGGTAATGCCATCCCCCACTACCACATTATATCTGATCACCCTACGGCTAAGGTTCAAAGACAACATACCTAAAAATTAGTAATTCTACGAGGGTAGAAAACTGTAAGATAAGATGTGATGAAGATTAATCGCAGAAAATTGATTTCAACCACTCTGCGAACTGGAAGACATAAAATACTAATTTTGGTACCAGGGTCCATATGAATTGTCTCTTTCTCGCACGTGCGGTGTCGAATTTCGTACTTTACACTAAGGTTGACCGTATTTTGACACTGATATATAAGGGTAGGTTTTATCCGTTTTATGGTCAGTGGTAAATACCGAAAATACTGCCTTGTATAGTAAATTACTAATTACGATATTATCAAGTATAACATAACACAGTACCAATTTTCAAAATAAAAATCCCCCAAGAGTAAAAACAAGTAAATGCAAAAAGCTTAAAGCACGACTGCATATTTAAATATTGTAGTATGATTATTTTTTTTTATGAAGCACAATCGTACACAAAGTTCAATCGTCGAACAGCGAGACTTTGTATTATAGTTGTATAAATTTACTCATACAATTTATAGTAGGTATCAACTACTAAGGTAAAATGTATAATATGCTAGTATAGTCCATGAGGAATGGCTGATATAATATAATGGGTTTAGTTCCTAATACAAACTTTTGGGACTTCCAGAAAACTTTTGAAAATTAAAACTATTGCCTATAGGCTATAGGTATGCAATTAGCTGTAATGCCAAAAACAACACCCCACAACATGAGTCTGTTATAATTTTGGTCGAGGAAAATATCAGTGCAAAATTAATAATAATATTAATGTAATTTTGAAAGAGTCTAGATATTCTCAATTTATTTATTTTTTAATTTTTAACATTTAGAGTAAGGTAAAATAAATAACAAAACACTACATTTGTATTGTACAAGAATTAGTTATATTACATTTATAAAATACAGAAAATTAAGTTAGACATTCATATTACTTACACTTATTAAGCTAATTATAAAATAAAAGCATACCCTGTGACAAGTGTGCTAACTTATGATTAATCGATTATAGACAAATATTAACAAATTTCACTTCATTGTACTAGTTCATGTTCATTCAATAAGAAAGATTTTATTCTTATTTAATTTTCATTATTTTGATTAAGTATGAAAATCAAAATTATTCAAACTATTTTTTTAATAATTTGATTAATTTTTTTCACATATTTAATAAAAATTATCTCATATAATTTATTATTATATACAAACACACAACTTGTCAAACAATATAATATGTAATTTAAAAATAAAAATAATTAAATTAAATGCTTATACTAAGTATCAAAATAAGTATGTTCATCCTTCGATGAAACAATTTTAAACACAATTATATACCAACAGTCTAACAGACCTCAATATCTTTTAAATTTTTCTAGGGAATATATCACACTTAGATGTAACTAAGACTCAGAAAAATACAAAATAGTGAAGTCCCTGAAAACTAATGTTACTAAAGCTTTCAAAATAATTTAACAATTCAAAACAAACTCGTTCATACTTTTTTTATCAACTGTTGTTTAATGTTTATCAGTAAACTTCATAAATATTAAAGTATTAATCATAGTTGTTTTTATGCATTATGCAAGTCTAATAATTGGTATGTATAAAAACAAATAACATATCAATAATATAATAAATAAACAAATAATATGTACAAGATAAAAATATCCCAGTCATCATTTTGACATATAAAAATCAGTTCTGTTTCGGCAAACTTAATAAAAACAAACTATAATAATTAATAACAACACAAAAATATTTTAACTTCTATATGAAAGTAAATCAACAGTTTTTCAAAGTAAACTGAAAAACATCTCCAAGTTAACAACACCTGAATATAAATAAATAAATAAATGTTTATATTATTATAGAGTATATTCATCAAAGTATTTATAGAGTCACCGTATTATGAATAAAAAAAAATTTAAGTTTGTAGAATGCAAGTGATAATTTTATTTGCACTCAACAGCTTATAAGATAATAACTGATTTTATTCAACAACATTTTCATTTTCAGTTTAGCTATATAATTATTATCAGTTAGAAATACTTAAATTTAGTAGGACAAGCATACACGATTAATTGCTTGTGTACAAAAAAAAATAGTCATCATAATAATAATACAAAATAAAATCTTAAAGTAAATACAAATAAAACATTTAATTTTTAACTTGAATTATTTCAATGTAACAAAAGAAATGAGAAATCATTAAATATAACTAAAGATTATTCTAAACAAAGAAACAAATTTATGTTAAGTCAAAGCATAAATCAATAAGAAATTATGCATATAATATATTATGTTTATCCTTGAATGAAATTAAAATTGGAGAAAAACATAACTAGCCTTTTATTGTATTTCCTTTGAAATTAAATTAAAATTTCAAACAGATTACTTTTGAACAATCTAATATTAACAGTAGTTTAGGAAATAATTATAACATCTAATGGATAACACTATCACTTATAAAAATAATAAAAAGTTTATACAAAGTTCAGATATAAAATATATACATATATATATATATATAATATGTAAGTTATATACTATATATATATATTATATAAGTAATATGAATGTACCTAACCCTACTAGTACCTCCCGAAATGGTTCCACATATGATCCTCAGTTTCCATCAATGTATCGAAACTATCATCGCAAATTATACATATAAATCGATCATATGAGTTATTAATTGTTAATACATTCTGTTTATTTACACAACCATCTAAATGTTTGAGCAATGTTGTACGTTTAGTTAACGTGCGACAGCACAAAAAGCAAAATAAACATGACTTTTTTTCAAAATCACAAATTAGATGATTGGAGGTCATGTGAGCCCATAAAACAAACGTAAGATTTGTATCAAATCTAAAATATACAAAAATATTTACTGTTAAAAATAATTAGTTGAAATGTATTGATGTTATAAACTTACGGGCAATAATTGCACTGAAAGAAGCCAATAATTGTCTGTCCGTTAGTCTTAAATGATTTCAACATATTTTTTCTCTTGGCCAATTGATGGATTGCATCTGTTTTATTTTTTGATGTTACGCAAAGTTGCAAATAATTAAAAAGATATAACTGTTGAATAGAAGCTGTACTTCCAGAGGTAGAAACAATGTCCATAGGTCTATCTATAGACTCAAGCAGCGAGGAATGCATTGCAGTTTCATGTGCTCGGCGTTTTTCTGGACTATAGTAATACTTATCACAAATAGGGCATTGGTATATTGTAAGTGAAATATTTGTCGCTGTTGTTAACCAATTGCCATTTCTGCCCTCTATTTGCCTTCCTAGTTTGAATAAGCCAGAACTAAAAAATATATATACTCATCAATTATAAAATATATTTAATTGAATCATTTAAATCAAATTATACTTTTTTATCTCAGCAGCATTAGCTATAGCAGATGCTCTCTTGGGTCTAGGTTTTGTTAATGACGTGTCCAACCTTTAAAATACAATTCTCTTAACTATATAATATTTCATTCTACATCATTGTAATATGAATTATTATGTATATATATATATTGGCTACATACACTATACACAATATATTGTAGAAAAAATGTTTTGATCTGTAACTTTGAGGGTAGTTTCTGATAGAAATTTGTATTTAGATGGTGCTTTTGAGAGGTAAAAATTGAAAATTACCAATATTTTTCAAAATAAATAGGAAAAAAATATAGGGCAAGTGTACGCTTCTATAGTCTTGTACATGATATGTCTAGAGAAGACACTCTATGGATGTGTCAAATTTTAATAAAAAAAAACGATTCTGAGTGAAGATGGTCTGTCAGTCTAGAATATTACTAAATATATTATATGTTATTATTTCTATTAAGATAATTTATTTAACAAAATAAAGATATGAGTACACTACCTACTACAGTAGGTTAAATTAATTGCTGTCAAAAATATTGCATTTGAAAACGTTATTGTGTGTGTGTAAAATATAATAATATAGGTAAAAGTAAAGTACCCACAAATAATATTTTTTAATTACAAAAAATTGTACTAAAATCTATATAAATTGAACATATTATAAGTTTGTAACTAAAAATGTTGTCAAATGTTAAATTTTTATAGAAAAATTGTGATTTTGATAAGCTAATGTCATCTATAAATTAATAATAAAAAAAGATATTACTGTTCAGTAGTTGATGAAGTTGATGATAATAGTAGTTGACCTTTTGCTTTTAGATTATAATTAGCAATGGAAGTATTCCGAGTCTGTTTTCTAAATATAAAATATGAGATATTTATAAATATATGTATTAAAATTGTTAATTTGCAAGAATATTTGCTAGACCAAATAATGTCAGTTATAAGTTAGTAATAAAAATATATATTACTTTTCTATAGTTGATGATGTAGAAGATCTTAGTAGTTGACTTTTTGCTTCACGATCATCACGATTACGTTGTGCAATGGAAGTTTTTGGAGTAGGTTTCCTAAATACAAAATAAGCGATATTTATAAATATATTTATACATATATTAAGCAAATAATTATATATTACTTAGGTGCTACAGCCTTTCTAGGCTTAGGAGTTTTCTTTTGTTTTATGATTGGTGTTCTGTAACAAATATTATATTTTAATATTTAAGTTTGACTAAAAAATCTAGATTAATCCATAATATCAACTAACTTTTTTGGAGTATTGTCTTCTTTAGTAGTCAAGTCAACTGTTTCATCAGTTGAGAATAAAAAATGGAATCCGGTATCTGGTAAAACTCTTGATGGTCCAGTTTCTGGTCGAACTTGTAATGCTTCAGTACGATCATTTTCTGGACCAGAGTATGTGCCTTCTACCTCATTTGATGAAGAACCCACATCAGAATTTGGAACTGGTATATCTGGAGTAACTGTCATTTCTTCAGTTGAAATATTTGTGGATGGAGCATTATTGCGTAAGTAAATTACTTTTCTTTAGTTAAACAAAAATTTTCTTTTTAAAATTATCAATATAATACATTATGTATACACTCATACATACCTTTTAAATTGAATAAGTTTTTTTGTACTATTTTGGTTTCTACGTTGGTATGATTTAGGGATGTTGGTTGTAGCATTATTATTAATATTATTTACGATTAGTGGTGGTGGTGGTAGCACCCACTGGTTTAAAGGACTTATAGAATTTTCAAGAGCTTGTAAGCTATTGTCATTGCCATTATTATTATTGTCATTATGATTACGATTATTGTCATTATGATTATTATCATCATCATCATCGTCATCATCCAAACAAATCACTTCATCATCACTAATTTCACTGGATAAAATTTAAAATTAATTACATTTAATCAAATATTTGCATATTTTAATTTTAATAATGTTGAATTTTTTTTACAAATTAATAGTAATAATATACTTACTTTATTTCTCCATTTAATTGAACACTATTATTATGATTATTTACTGTACTTTGGACTCTGAAAAATAAATACATGATATTATATAATATTAATGCTACAGAATCTGTTAAAAAACATGAAACATTTCTAAACGTAGGAGTACCATATGATTTACATTTTGATACTATTTTGAACTTACGTGGAAGGATTATTCACATTAGATTGATTTAAACGTGCAGCAGAACCAAGATTTTTAACAGTATTTGTTTCGCTAAAACACATAATACATACATATTCAATATAATATAAACATGTATACATATAAAATTTCTATAAACAATATTACTCTTTATCCTATGAACAACTAATTATACTTCATCAATAATATATTACTATTTTTAACGAAAATACTACTACTAATACATACAGTGAATATCACTTGTCCTAATCATAGGTTATTATCAACACGTAACAAATATCAGCATTGAATATCATTAAAATAATCTCTAAAAGTAAAATTTAAGTTTATAAGGCTGTGACTCCAATTTATTTTTTTAACTAACTTATATCTGTAATTTAAAAGAAGTTCTTTGTGTGGCACATAAAAAAGACATAACAAAATACTGCAGTTTTCGTTTATGCTAAATAGTAGGGTTTTTAATGTACCTAACTGAATATCGGGTAGGTCATTTTAATGGGATTGTTAAATTTGAATTCAATGATCAATTGCTATACACACAAAAAAATGATTCTGTGCAAAGAAGACAGACAATTTAAATCTATAACATTCATACTTATAAGAAACCTTATCCCAAATTTTCAAGTTTTTTTTTTGAACCCAGTAACAGCAATTTTAACAACACTTATAAAATAATTCAACTATCAACAATTTTAAAGAGACAAAAATATTTTTTAAACTATAATATAAGTATTTAATGGATATTTCAAGTCTCTACATGTTTTTCTTTTTAATTATAACAAATGAGTAACAACTAAATTGATTTTGTGACGAATTGATGTTGAGTAAATTTCTTCCGCCTCACAACTATTTTTTTAACTATTATAATTGTAGAAATACTCAAAATTAACTATTTTTGGACAGTATAAAAACTTTGGAGGTTAGAGGAAATCTTTAGCTTCAAAACAGACGTCAGAAAAATAAATGATTAAAAATAATAGTAAAGCCAACAAGGAATCCTTAACGTCAGTCTCAAAAAAATCCTAAAAATGTGCCAATAGAAAATTAATTTACACTAAAATGATTTAAATGTTTACACATTACACTACATAGAATGTTATGTTTTACTCTTTATATTACATTTATATACTTACACACGCCGTCTGTTTATAAGTATTGGAGGTTTACTTAATACACAGAATCTGCTTGATTTGATAACATTATTTTTACAACTATAAAAAAATAAATAATATTTTTAATTAATTGTTTTAAATAATAAGATATTTAGCATTAGTATGTAGTTTTTTTTAAGTGATACCAAGTTTAGAAATTAAGTATAAAAATTGTTTAGTTCAAATATTTAAAAATAATTAAGAAAATGTCTCTCCTATAATGTGTTATCTATCTTATAAAAACATAACATAACAAATTTACATTAAGCAGTTAATGTTTAGTTTAGTTTGTTTTAATATTTGAATTAATTTACCCATTATTAAACTTTAAGGTATCAATATTTTTAAATATAATATTAAATTAATTCAGTATTATATTAAAACTAACCAAGCTAAATGAGAGCAGATGAATGTCAATTTGTTATGTAAGCTTATAAGATGGCGGCAACACATGATGGTGAGACCTCCTATTTAAATCTCCATATATATATGGTACTGATGACTTAATTCAATGATATTGAAATATTATAGTACATTTACTTCAATAGTAAATGTACTTATCATAATAACTGATATATTGCATTTAAGTACATTACATATAACTAGTCGAGGGCATGGAAAAGTGCTGACCCTTATGGCCCATTATCAATACTGTTATAAAAATTGGCTTTCAACATTTCACTGTAGTATATAAATTTATACCATCATGTATTACAAAGTATTTTGAATATACAAATAAAGGTAGCTTTAATTAGGTACTTAGATACTTTACTTTTTTTTAGTGGGTACCGCTCTGCTATGCAGTATTTGTTGAGTATGTCATTCTAGAATACTTGTATAAATAATCAAATTTAATAATGATAAAAACTACAGAATATCTTATATCAAAACACTTTTAAATCAAACCCACATAAAAAATTATTGTTACTTTCCGGTGGACGTTTTTATAAAGGTAGAAAAACTTGTTGGGAATCTTTTGTTCAAATTTCTTTGTCAGATATAAAAAGAAAATTTTTATGAATTGTTTCAATATTTGAACTTTAAATACAATTTATAAAAAATAATTGTGCCTATGTATCTTTAATATTTTTAAACTACTATTAAAACAACTTAAGATCAATCTTGTATTACATTTTTAAGCTTTTTTACTCAGTAAAAAAGTTTTGATCGACAGTCATTTTTAAAATGTTTGTCAATAATTGGTTTTGGGTAAAAACCCTACTTCAATTTTTTTCCCCAAAGTATTCAAAAATGAATTTTTAATTTAAAAGCAACTACATTCACTGTTTTATCAGAAACAATGCCGATGTCAAAAATTGGGGCATTTAAAATTTTTAACAACCTTTAATATCGAATAGACAGAAAAAAATACAACATTGTAAAAACAGTACATTCATTGCTACAAACAAAATTTAAAATAATAATTAAATAACAACCACACTATAAATAATTTGATATTTTAAAAAAATGTATGAATTTATGATTTGGTATTCACTATCACAAAAATGTTCTCTTGGCGCATAACGGACAGCGATCATTTTTCGTGGCCTCGACTACAGCGATAAACATGTATTGTAAATTTTAAAAAGTTATAACTTAAAACATTGAATCTCTTCAAATTCAGATGAGCAATTATTTTTTTTTTTAATGTTCAAAATTCCTTAAAAAATAGAATATGATATTCATACTATAAAACATACTTAGACTAACCTACTTAAGCTTAATAATATTAATCAGTGCTGTTAATTTTTCATATTATAAACTGTTCAATACTTACACAATAGGAAGGTTTATTCTAGATTGATTTATATTATTTATGGCATGTCTATTGTTTACATTATTTGTTCCACTAAAAAATAAAAATAAAGGTATGTTTAAAAAAAAATAAACATTTATAATATGTCAATATGTCAATATACACGAAATTGAAAGAATAGAACAAATAAAAATAAAAATATTTGCAAAAACATTGTTTGTGTCTAAATTCTAAATTGGCATCCACATACATTAGTGACATATTATACATAATTTTATTTTAATTATTTAATCATACAAGTATGTACAGGGTCCAGTAAAAAATTGATAAGGTTATATCATTCATCAATTATTATTAATGATAAATAAATAGCAAATGTTTGGATAAAAATAAATAAAAGATTTCCCTTTTTGGGTTCAGCAAACATGATGCATTAAATAAACAAGTTAAGTTGAAAAATCAGAAGAAATGAATAAAATAGAAAAAAGAAACTCTGGAATAAAAATTTGAAGAACAACTAAGTCTACCGAAGAAGATATGAGAAAACAGAGAATTGAAATTCTTTCAGCAATCCATCAGACTCCCTAAATTCAGTGAATGAATGATGGTTTATTTATCAGGAGGGCAGTGAAAATATAGCACGGAGATGGCTAAATGTACTCTAGGAATTCTTTAAACAATGATCCAAATGTTCATAAAACCTAAATACATTTTTAATTCATGAGAAATTCTTTGAGAGAAAACAAGTAAGCTTAAATGCTTTGTACCAAATGTCCTGAATACAACAAAGACTTTGGTACATATTTGTAAAGTCAAAATAAAAAATGGAATTCCTAGAAAACACTACTTGTAATCATTGAGTTACATAGATGAAGTAAATCCAGTGGTGTGACAAACTAAAGAGTTTTAAGAGACAAGTATATTTTTCAATGACCACCTGCCCACGAGCCCATGACCTATTATTAAACATTGAACACTAGGTTCTTATCTCTCTCTTAAATTGTACTATAAAAAACATAACATTTATAGGGTGTGGGGAAATTGCCTCTCTCAGGCAATTTTAAAATCAAACAAGATTAATCCTAAAAAAAACTGAGAGGTGGCCGCCTCTTAGTTACTCCTTTTGCCAAGCCATTGAGGAAAATCAGACATTGGTCAAGGAAAATATATAATTTAGACTATAGAGAGCTTAAGATATGGCAGTGATATTCCACTCAACTTGAAAAACCAGTCAAAAATTGCCTGCATTATTAGCCTACCTTGAGGTATACCACCAGAGGAGAGAACTAATGATATTGAATGTATGATTTTAAAGATTGATCCATTGTTTTCCCCCCAATAATTAGGAATTTGAACAAAAAATATAACATGGTACAACAAAACCAATTTAAATCAATATCATAAGCCTCAGAGTATAGGCATTTATGGTACATACATTCAATACGAGTAAATAATAAAGCAATACATAGTACAATACAAAGTACTAGAGGTACTATACAACCAACAGGTTTGTACAATCAAGGAATCCTACTTAGCATTATGCATCGTCTGGCAAGATGTGATACATAATGTAATCAAAAAAGGATTGTAGAAAAATGCCAACTGAAGAGAACCATGTAACTAATGTTAGAAAGTAGCGAGGGGGTATTAATACTACCTTCAATAAATCTTGTTATCTAGAAAAATTAAGCTATACTTTTCTCTCAGCAAGTTAAATATGCTACAAAGCAATCTATAAATTAAGCAAGATTCAAAAGTTTAACTGACATTGGATTCTTTAGATCAAAGTACAATAAGCAGTATAGGAATTCCAAATTAACATTCTATGTTTCAATAAAGACTTAAAGAATTGAATAAGGAGAATAATCAACACTAAACCATTTCGCAGAACAGTGTTTCAGTTAAGAGCTGAAAGTTCTCTTCAAAGAAACCATTTTATGCAAACAAATATCTTAATAGTGTATTAATAAATGTTAATTATCCTAGATCTAGAACAAGGATTATCCAGAATGAAGATTATATTGTTAAAATTTTTTTAAAAATGCATGTATATTCATAAAATTTAGAGATAATGGGGATCTAAAGTGTTTAGTTATTTTCTACATAATTACTGTTCATCAAACAATTGATTATTGTAGAAATGGCTTATTTTTTGTTCTCAGTGGCGAAGAACTCACATCCACCTGGCACCTACCTAAGGTTAGGTTTTCAACTATTACTTTTATCTTATCATTGTAAAAAATCCTGTGATCTAATTAAACATTTTTTCTACTTAGTAGAAACATGATAACTGATTATCATAAGCTGTAGATTTTAAGGGAATGGGTAACAGTATCCCATAAAATTGATATGAGGTCCTGTGAAAGGCAGGTAGAATGAGACCAGCCATTGCCATGAAGGATGCTATACCAAATTATGGTCTTAATGTTTCTTGAGGGCTAATTCTGCGGTCTACTAAAAAAAATATAGAAAAAACCTAAAGAAATGGCCTCATCATGTGTCTCTTGAACAACTCTAGATCTTATTTCATTTTTATAGGATGCTGTCATCTACCCCTTACAATCCAAATCTTGTGCCATAATTTTCAGATTTTCACTACAGTCAAAAAGTTTATAGGTGGATAACATTTTTTTAACGAAAAATATATGAAAGACAGTTAAAAAATGACAAGGAGATGACAAGAAAGTGATTTAACATTGGAAACAAAAGCAGATTTCGCCCCTACAAAAGTACATAGATTTGACCAATGATTATGTACAAAATAATAATACCAATAAGATGTTTCATAAAAAAAAGATTCTATAATTGATCTTAAAAATGTTGTAACCTTAAATTCGGTATGGCCCTGGTAAAGGCAATGATGGACACTTATCATATTAACCATTACAATGCAAATAATCTAAAATTATTTCTTTAAGTAGGCAAAATATTTATAAATTATAATTAATTTAAGTATTCTTGGCTATCTCCCAATATGCGGTCTACCTCTGTTTTGTGTACTACGTAACTATAAATATGAGTACAGTATGCGGTCTATCAATGGTGTTCTACTTATAGCTGGGAATCCATTTATACTTATTGTCTACCAATTTATGTTTCATCTTAATTGTTCATAACAATATATATTTTATCATGTAACAATACAGTTCATTCTGATTCCTGGCTTGGATATAAAGGTTTATCTGAAAAATGCTATGTGTATGAAACAGTTAATCATTCAACAAATTTTGTCGACCCTGAAACTGGTGCCAATACTCAAAGAATTGAAAGTCTTTGAAAGAATCTTAGACTTTAAATTGTTAAGAAAATGTGTGGTACTAATGAAGACCTCTTAGAGAGGTACTTAGCGGAGTATTGGTGGTGAGGATTAAATAAAACTGATAACATTTTTGATGCTTTCCTTAGAGATAGCAAATTATGCTTTGTGGATAATTTTGTAGATCCTTAATATATCAAAACATATTTTATTTATACTTTTAATAGCTATTTGAAAACTGCGTTTTAATGTAAATTATAGTATAACAATTATAAATGAATTTTCTTAAAAAATTTGAATTTTTTTTTATACTTTTAATATTATCACGGTAGACCACTTTCATTTTGGTAGACCGCATATTGGGAGATAGCCGTATTCTTAAATTGTATAACTAGTTATTATTATGATAAATACCAAAATGTTAGGTACACTATATACTTACGCATTAGGACCGTATTTTGTAATAATACGTAAAATATTTGTACCAGGATTAATTGCATTGCTTAAATTGTTTGTACTTCTAAAAACAAAAAATACATTTTAAACTTGCATATAATATATATGTATAATATATTATATTTTGTTGGGTCTATAAAATACAAAATATAAAAATTTAAGTATTTAAGTTTAAGTATTTGAATATCCTATTTACGAAAAATACTAACATTTTGTTTACTATATACTTACATAATAGGAATATGTGCATTCGATAAAATGTTTTTAGGTACGCTAGAGTTAGTTTCATGGTTTATATTATTTGTGTTTCTACAAAAAAAAAAATAAATAATGATACATTCAATAGTCTTATACAGTATATTGTATTATATAATAATAAATATTATTTTATAATTGTTCTATGTGATTAACAATATTATATTGGAATCAAAAATATACAATATCTTAGATAATCTCTAAAAGTAAATATACATTTTAAACATTTAATGTTTAAAAAAGTACTTCATAGTTTGTTATTTTATAGGGTAATATTTACTATTATAAGAGCCAAGTCAGTTTTTTATTCAGAATTATTATGGGGAAGTATAGAATTTGTTTGTTACTGATTTTTGAGTTATTGAAACATTTGAAACTTAACCTAATTAGTAATTATTATTATTAATTTATTTAATTTTGCTTCATAAAATAATAGTTATAATAAATAATGTGCTTAATAAAAATACTTTTACCCTTCTACAAGCATAGATTGTGTTCGGAGTAGGCAAGTTCAAATACAGAGTTTATGTAGGTAATATGTCTAACAAGTTCTAAGAAATATGAAATTATAAAGTTACTTGATACAAATTGATATTGGATTATCGGTTAATACATTTTACATTTACACTAAAATAAACTAAATGTTATCAAAATTGAACTTTTCAATATGATCTACTAATATTTTCTTATTTTTAAATTGAAATATTTAATTTTTACAAATATTAATAACTACATGTATTGTATTCTTATCCGAATTGTTTGTTAACTTTTAGAACATTACATGGATTTTTCAAACGTGTGTTATATTCCAGCTACGGCACAAATAAATTAACATTTACTTTTAACATAATATGTAAAATAACATTTTATAATAAACACATTTTAAATTAAGAACATTAACTCTGCTTATACATTTTTTGTTGCATAGGCTTCTTAAGTATTGTTTTAATTAATGTTAACTGTAGTTAGACAAATGTATATTGTACGTTCCGCCCCAGACAGCTATACCATAATTAATTCTAGATTATTTCAGAACAAAGTACACAATTTTTACACTTTATGAGTTCAGTATATATCTTAGTCTTAATAATATAAAATAGCTTCCACATTAATGTTGAAATATATTGAACGTGATCAAACCACTTAAGCCTTTCATCAACTATAATTCCAAGGTACCTAATTACTTTTATATTATGAATACTTGAATATTTAGATAAATCATTTCAGTAAATATGATCTGATTTAAATTGACTTAGGTATAATTAATATCAATATAATCGTATACTATTTGAAAAGTTTGTAAAAATGGTTAGTGTTAACTCATAAGTGCATTTAATTATATTTATTCAATAATAATTGTGGAAATGAAAGCAATCATTCAAAAAACAAAACGCTTGCAGGTGTAACATCCTCTTAAGATGTAATAGATAAAATTATTATAAGCTCAACCCATTGCACAACTAACAATAAAACCAAACTGTATTATCTACTTACATATTAGGCTCATTTGTACATGGCATATTTACTTCAAGTACATGAGGACTTTCTGGAATTCTATTTCCAACAGATTCATCATTTTCAATATCTAATTGATTTGTAATACTATAAAACAATAAGTACATATAAAATATGTTATTAAACATTCAAATTTTAAACTGCCGATAACAAAATAAATATTATCAATAATGCATTTATTTATAGATACCATAGACACACTATTCTAGGAATTCTACCTAAACCAAAGCTAATTTATTAAACATCATTATTCATTATAGCATAATTCTTTCAAAATTTTTTCAAGGTATTAAAGTATTCTATTTTCTAAATCAAACCAAAAAAAAATTGTAATTTAAAAAAATATAATCATGTAAGTTTTAAATAAATTAAGTACTTATTAACCTCGTTATTAATCATACAAATTATAGTTAGAAGACGAAATGAATGGATAGGCCATATAATGCGACACGAGGAGCTACTAAAACTGATTAAAGAAGGAAATGTAGAGGGGAGGAACCATAAGAGAATGCCAAGATTAGAATAAATTCAACAGAAAGAGATTTATTTCAATTTCAGAGATTACCCATGTCATCCATACCAGGTACCCTTCATACTTTAAAAAACAAAATACTTAAGCTTACAACCAATTCATACATTTTCAAACATGGTAAATTTATTTTAAAATTTAAACTATTTTAAGCTAATACTAACCTGTTGTGGTTATTTGTACCAATATATTGGACAAAATTTTCAAAATTGCTAGCTGAACTTAGGTTTTCATTATTATCTTTCAAAAAGCTTATTATTGCATCAAACAAGCTTTTCACATCAAACTGGTATTTGTTAAACTATAAAATCAAAATCCAATAAATTAACACCATTAATATAGGTACTTAATTAAACAACTGTAATTGTATAGTATTCACGATTATAATGTGATTAATAGTTTAGTTTGAATTTTTTATTACCAAAGGATTAACAGGTAGTATTTTCTTATTTTTGTTATTTTCAGTTCTGATCGCATTATCTGATGGTGAATGATGTACGTTTCTGATATATTTTACAACATTTTTTTGACCTTTAGTTATGAATGGGAAACAAACTTGAACTTGCCCGTAGCATGCTTTACAAATATACAGCAGTTCATGTTCATTAAGAGAGATCTGTGAAAAGTAAGAAAAAGGATTATTACATTTATGTATTAATTATAGAATTAAAGTACCTATTTTCTTTATAATGTTAGCCCGATATTTATGCAAAAACACATTTTTGGAATTGGATTTTGAGTCTAGGTTTAATTTGAAAAATATATTTCTTGTTTTTGCCGATACCTAACCTATTAGATATAAATATTCAAATGACTAATAAATTTAGTCACTTTGAAAGATATCTACTTCTTTCATTATGAGTTAAATAATAATTTGTAAAAATTAAAGTGCCTACCAGGTACCTACTAATATTGATATGCCTCACAAAAGATTAATGCACTTAGTGGGTTGTTTTTTTCTTGATATTTTGTATTTACACAAAAAGTAAATATAACTTTACATACAATCTTAACATAGCAAGAAACATTAGTTTAAGGGAACAATGTTTCACAAACAAATATAATATACAGGGTAATATACATATATATAACTATCTACCTACAGAAAATTGTTAAAGAGATGAAGAATGCTCAGCAAAGTGAGATTTAAATAGGACCCTTTAATAAGTTATTATTTCTTTCAATTGTATACTATCTACAATACCAAATTCCCTATTTACTAGTGTGACAAATTGGTATGAACTAGGGTTGTCATTGTGAAGAGATCTAATCTTAGATGTTGGGAACCTCTTTTGCAAACCAACTGAATATCTCATTGAAAACAATATAGGGGCAATATTTATGCATTCTGAATTCAAGTTATTCTGGCGGAGAAGGAGGTTAAGGTCAGGAAATATGTTTACTGTGCAAGGTGGTACACTTTGGACAACCACCTGTCACAGTGTCATAATTACAAATGTCTTAGGAAAAGGATATGGATATTCTATAGCCACAGACCCTCTGGGTTACAGTTAAAAATAAAAAACAGGTAAGTGGTTAAAGCTCTGCTGTACATTAGGTATCAAGAGTCATTAAATCTGAATTCAATGATATAATACCATTGTAAACACAAAACGTTCTAAGAGAATATATAAGGCTTATTAGCATATAATATTAGTTATTACCCTGGTTATTACTAAGAAGGTATATTTTATGAAATTATTGTGAGTAAAGTAATTTATTTTACTATTAAGCATTAATGCTACAGAAGATAAAATTTATTTTTAGTGAAACAAACATTTAAAAATATTATTGCATAACTTTATAAAATAGAATTATATACCTACCACACTAAAAGTTCTAGTACCTACGTTAAAATCGACTAAAATTGTTAATTTTTGTTTAAATTTGTCGTTTTGTCCAAATTTGAACTTAAAATGTCTGTAAAAAAGAACTATTTATATATTTTTTAGATTTTTTAGTTACAGTGTGATCTATTTATGAGAATCCTTATTTTAAATTTTCAATCTTTAGCTATAAAAATTTAACAATACATTTTACGGGACATTTTATAAATTGTCAACTACAAAATAATTTGTAAATTTTTGATATTTAGATATATTTTGTTTAAACTAGAACTTTAAATAATTATAAAAAGAACTCAGCATAATGTACATAATGGTTTTTTATCTCATATATTATGGATCTCTAATATTTCTCAACTGCTATTATAACAACATAATACAAGGAACCTTGTATTCAATTTTTAAGCATTTCGACAGAACAAAATTTTATCTGACATTTACCTACAGAAAAAAAAAAATTGGAAATTGAAAATGTTTTTAAATACCTAAATTCAAAACAAGTTAAAATATTTAAAATATTTTTCATGTATGGAAAATGATAAAATAAACATTTTGTGAACATTTTTATGCTAGGATCATCTAAGTTGGAATAAATTTAAATTAATTTATAATTCATGATTTGTAAAAAAAAAGGCCATGAAGATGTATCTTCCATACCCCCTCGTAATTATGCCCCTGCCACCTAAGAAGAGAATGGTGGAAGATAAAAGAAAGATGTCAGTAAACTAACATTTTTGTGATTTTTTATTTATAGAAATACTATATATTTTGTTAAAAAGACGCTACACCCGCATGTGTTGTCTCTATCTTACAATTAATGTACAAGAAAGCAAATACTGTTTTTTATGAAAAGAATCAAGATGAACAGTTTTTGGTATGTTCCACATTTGTAAGATGGAGACAACACATGCGAGTGTAGCGTCACTCTTAAGGTCATCTTACACTGCAGTGGTAATGGTGAAATTCAAGTGAACACAATTTACCGCCACCGCCAAGACAGAATTTACTCCTCCTTCCGAATTTAATAATTGATATGTTTTTGAATTAAATTGAGTTGGATAGATCTACATATGGCTGGATCATATATCTAGTCACTGACAATGAGGAATTTATCAGGGAAAAAATAACACTAAAGGCAATTTAGAGGGATATAAGCAAAAGGGCATTTTATTACATTAAAATCATATTATGGCACTTGTTGGTTCATAAAAAAAACCTTGAAAAAAACAAACTTTAAACAAATTTTAAGGAATTAAAATTTTTTAATATAGGTACCAATTAAATAAAAACTGATTAGTCTAACAAATTATTCTCAATCACATACAAGGAAGGTGTTAATAATGAATGTTTTCAGATATACACAAAAATATTAAGCATGCGTAATGTTTGAAATGGCATATTTGGTCGAATAGATTACATTAATATTTCATAACAATCAAAGTCAAGCAATAGACGTGACATGTAAGTACTTAAAGTAAATAAAAATGTTGACCAACCAATTATTGACTTATAGATATACATAATATATATGCTATAATGTTTAAGACTCTTTGCAGACAATTTCAGAGCAATGGAGGTAAGAAAGAACAATTTGAATTTTTATTGATATATAATTTATAAATAGGTTGGTATATTCAATATGAATTGCTATAAAAAAGTCTGAGGTAGGTCAGAAAGTCTGGTATATATATATATATGTAACAAAATTCAAAATTCAAAATTTTAAAAAAATGCAATGATCATAATTAGGTTTTTAGTATCATTACCATCATATACAATAATGATTTCTCAGTTTAATTAAGTATTAACTATCATAGCTAAAAAAATTCTGGTATATAGGTATAGTAACAATCTTTAAAAAAAAAATGCAATAAATATAATGTTTATCTAGTATTACGACTTATCAGTTTAATTAACTGTCTCCAAAAAATAATATATGTACTTATTTTAAAAAAATTCCGATACACATGTATGTATAACAATATTTAAAATAATATATTTTGAGAATATTTTGTCGATATCGATACCTACAAGATTATTTATTAACTTTGTCAGGTAAACCATTTGATTACAATTTATATTAATAGTAATTGGAAATTTGATTGTGCATCACATCATATTTTTTCTTTTACCAAATTATATGTACCAGATTTTTATGCCACTGACTTTTTGGTACTACACCATTCAATAACCTACCCTAACTAAGGCTCTATATATAATGGGTATACTATGCCACCATTTTGAGGCTCATTAATCAGCATAAATATGATAAAATAAACATGGGCAATTTCATATTCAAAGTGATAAACGAATCGCCAAATTGCGAGGTAGCATACCTATTAGCTATAGTGCCCTACCTTAACCTACCTATACTGGATATACCTAATAATTTATATGGTAAGTAAATTGAAAGTTGTAAAAAAAACTAGTTTTTAAAGATAATATGATTTTTTGAAGTGGGCCCTCAGCAGGTAAAAAAATTTAATTAGAGACATGAAATAGCTTAAGTTTATTGCTAGGGGTGTCATCAATTCTTGATGGTAAATAATTAACAATCACACACATGCATAATTTTGAACCAATATATTTTTAGATATATTGAATACAATTAATTATTAAAGTGAGTATTAAAGATATTTACACTTTAAAAATTAAGATAGGTACAGATTAAAGTTTAAGAGGACGCCACACCCGCATGTGTTGTCTCCGTCTTACAAAAGCTTAACATACCAAATTTGCGCTCAGCAGTTCACGTTTTATGCCATTGGCTTAAAAATTAGGGTGAATTGACATATTATGAAATTTGATGGTAAGAACTTTACCTGTGTTTTGTTGAAAGTTTTTTACTATAATTCATTTAAGTGAGTTATGAGCATTTTAAATTTACATTTATTATACAAACATACCTCACTTAAAAACAGTGTCGGCCTGGGCTATAAAAGGCCTAGGCAGGGTTTTTTTTTAGGGCCTCAATTTTTTTATCAAAATTTATCTAAGATTGGGTTGAAATTGTGAAAGTCATGTTTTGTGATATCGTACATACATATAAAATATATACATTATACATGAATATTTTTGTAGCATATTAATTAATGTATTATTGTTAAATACTGTATTTAAAATACAAACTATAATTTGACTTTATACATACACAACATATTATAGATAATATATATTTAAAATTAAACTATTATTTTATTATTATAACAAATGTGTACATAATATTTCTTTTAACTAAAAGATAGATGAATTTTATACAAGTTTGAATTACATACTCTTTATTATGTATTAAAATTTACTTATTCTTTTTTTATAAAATTACCTTAAATTCACTGATACACTATTTAAATAATTATATTCTACTAATTAACAGACTTGGTTAATTTTAAAACAACAACAAATAAATGATTTAACACATTATATTGTTATTCTAATAGTATAATTTTTTTTATTCATAACGTAAGTAATCTTTTTAATGCATCAGATGAACCAGCAATGCAATTAATAATATGTTCTTTATCAATCTCTATATCTTTCTCGACATTCATTAGCATTAATGGAGTTAAATTTTCTTGACTTACAATTGATCTTAATTTTGATTTAACTAACTTAAGTTTAGAAAAAACTCTTTCACACTTTACCTGAGTTGATGGTAGAAGTAGTACATATTTATACAAAACAAATAAATTATTAAAAGTATTGGAATTAAATGCAAGTTCTCAAATTGTGATATAAGCACATGCAATGCATCTATTACATTTGTTACAGTCAATTGGTAAAACGTTTTCTTCATCAACATCATTATATATATTTATATGTATTTACACATCGTATTATCGTTATATTGTATGAGCGTTAACATATTATGAGAAACATGTAGATGTAGTACCCAAAAATAGAACAAAAATAATTTACGAAAAATAATAAATACTCGTATTTTTAAACTATTATGATGCGATAAGAGAATTTAATGTTGCATGACAACAAAACACCTAGAGAATACTTGTATTTTAAAAACAAAATTATTCCAATAAACCGAAAGTATTCAAATATTCAATGTTAATAAGTTTTTATCCTTTAAACTCTTTTTGCTCATTAATTGTATATATTTGTGCGAGATCCAACTACCAAAATTTAATCGCACATGTATGTAATGACCTAAAGAGCCTTCAACAATACTTAGCACCCTGGGCTATTAAGTCCCCGTCCATCACTATTTGAGGTGCCTATGCTAGAATAAATAAAAAAAAAAGGTGAGGGCCTCGGCAGCATTCGCTGCCTCGCTGCCCTGGCCAGGCCGACACTGCTTAAAAACTGGATTATCGTAAAAAAACTTCCAACAAAACACAGATAAAATTCTTACCATCAAGTTTCATAATAGGTCGGTTCGCTCTATCTAATTCTTAAGGTAACGGCATAAAACGTGAACTGCTGAGCACAAATTTGATATGTTACGCGTTTGTAAGACGGAGGCAATACATGCGGGTGTGGCGTTCTCTTAAAGAAAAAAAATGTTGAAACTATTCGATACAGACAACAGACCAAATGGTCCTGCCCAAAAATGTGTAATAGAAGAGCATAAAAAAGTCATCAACAAAATAATTTACCTATAAAATATAAACTTATACTTAAAATTAAATGATACAACTGTATAGTGTGATATCAATTATAATGGGCAAAATGTTGTGATTAAGATCCATTATAATTAATTAAAAAACTTACATCGCACACTTTTGTGTTAATAAATCTTTTAAATTAATTTTAATAATATGTAAAATAATAATAATAATACTCAATTAACAACAAACAAAAACATACTAGGATACTGGCTTGACTATTAATTTTTAAGCAGCCCATATTAAGTGATAAACACCAATGGTAGTTACTAATAGTAGTGATACGTTTTTTCTATCAAATTATCTGGTTATTAACGGGATATATTTATTATTATGGCTAATAAACCTGAGTGGCAGAGCTATAAAGTTTTCACACGCTTAGGCAGGGATGAGTAAACAAACCAGTGCCAAAGTATATTAGTATGATGAGATAGACAAAATAAATTACTTTTAAAAGGCATTTCTATGACAATATATTGTACAATGAAATATATAACATAATACTGAATAGTAGTGATACATATGTTTGAAGTAGAACTAAGTAATCGTACATCAGATCTAAAAGAGACATTATCGCAAAAACTCAAGTGACATTTGTGTATGAATAAATGCTATACACACACAATGGGGCATTTGTTTGTAACACCCGTAACAGCCGAGAACACTGAAAGACGGACAACGATGCAAGTACACAAAATAATGTTTATTTTAATAATAATAATAATAAGAAGAAGAAGAAGCCCTAATACCTATGTTATTAGGTACACTTACATTGATATTCATGAGACTGGATAGTTTCTCACAAATTTGTTCTTTCTTTGCCTCCTCCGACACCAAACCGATGACGACTTCCTCGTCATGGTAAGTGCGATCGCAGATTAAGCACGGGTAAGCGTCGTCCATTGTGAAACAACGGCTTTGGCGACGTTCGAGCACACGAGATCGTTTGGAAGACGGACACCGAAGGGAATAACAGCGATGATGCCGCGGGATATGCGATCATCAAACCGCGAGCCACGAGACGATCGATACGACCACGAGAACACGGTGGTTTGGACCCGATAGTCCGGACCAAATGTAACGTGAAACGTAAACGTGCCCACCGGACGATGATTAATATCGAAGCGAAACGAGCTCACCCAATTCAGGAAGCACACTAGACGAGGAAAAATAAGACCTATCAAAGGTTCACCGGTGACGGTAAATGCACGGAAACGCGGCTGCGGTCCGGCGTCGTTCGTCTGCACACCTTACAACACTCTACAAGTCGCACGAAACAAAACAAAAAACAATCATTAACACTGTCTGTACGGCAATCAGCATACGGTAACAGCAGAACGATGCGTATTGGCCGCTGTTATCATCTATGGCGGTCGGATTCCGCCTGATAGAACGTACCTCCAAAGATGTTGTACATGACCGTCGCCGCCCGCAATGGGTTTTCAACGTACCGGCGGACAATAATCGTCAACAGCTATGTTTTATGTCAGCACTCGGTAACCGGTCCCAGAAATGCAAAACTGACACAAAAACAATATTTTTTTAATTTTCATTACCGACGTTTGCCCGATCAGATTTGGTTTTTGAAATGTCTCAACTCGTCTAAACAATATGTCGGACTCTGGGAGATTACAACTCGGCGGCCCAAAGACAACGGTTAACTTGGTATAACAAGCGTGGTTAGAGTTAGTAACCATTTATTTCCTACGACGTGAGTACCCATTGTAAGTTGCAAGTCATTCTCTATCATCTGAGCTACTCCTGTAACAAGAAAAAATTATTTAAAAAAAAAATATTAAATTTTAAAATAACAACTATTTTTTGACAAGGTAGGTCATTTACAACAATTTGTATTTTTAATTATTTTAATGAAAGAAGCTGATGTTTTTTGTCAGTGTATCCAGTCTATAATTCTCTTTTCTTTGCCGCCAAGAAAGAAAAATGTATACCTACACTGTTGTCTGTTATCCTTTAAAATAGAAGAGCCGGTACCTAACCAAAAATAATTGTGATTGTCGTGATATTTTGTAATGCGGTGGACGGTAGACTATTAATAATTGTGTTTGTGAGTCTATCGACATTGCCAATCCTGAAAATAACCAGAGCTGCAAATTTAAAGTACTCAACAATAATTTTTTGAATTCTTTTTCTAAGAGAAAAGTCTGATCATAAAGGATTTCCAAAAAATCTACTATAAGTCAGTTTTGAAGGAAAATTCTAGAAAATACTCTGTCGAGTTAAGAAACCTACGTAGTCTGTGGCCGATAAGTGGGTAAGGACGTGGCAATACAATACGGCAGGTGTACAAATAGTTGACTCCGTAGGGGAAGGGGGGTGCAAACGGGTGTTTTCTGACTGCTGTCCGACTAAAACAGGTCACTGCCGACAACGTTTCTTACTTGAACCGAGTATGGGGCATAGACCTTTAAAAAATGGACTGCCAGTAGAAAGAGAGAAACTGAATCCAACATTGTTAGACTCCTTCCAAAGCATAAAAAAATATACAGAAGAACTAATCATCTTCCCATTGATCACCACATACAAAATGTGCTTATTATTCCATTATTTATAATATTTTTCTTTTAAAATTTTCTTAAACTTAACTCTATCTCTTTCATAAACATATATGATCTCTTTTTAACAATCTGGTCTTTTGTAAAGAAATAACTGGGTATAGGGGGTTATCAATACAAATAGTTGTCATCAGGGGCAAGTGGCAAACGGGTGTTGCCCGATTGCTGCCCGACTAAAACTGGTCACCCCCAACTATGTTTCTTACTTGAACAGAAGGTGACCATTTTAAGAAAATAAAAAAACATTATAGTTGTTACTACACCAATCACCACCCAAACAAAAAAAATCACTCTCCAATATACATTCACACAACGCTAACAACTGTTTAGTATTAAGTCCAAATTGGTGTCATATCTCAAATAATTATTTCCTTATTACTCGACACTTTTTGACTTAACTAACCTAAATAATAAAATTATTCAAATGTTTAGGAATATTTACTCTTTATTATTCATTTGACAACACAATTGTACCTACCAGAATGAATGCTTTTCTTTTAAACAACTAGGACAATGTACTTTTTATTATTAAACTAGTTAGTATTAGAGCTAGTTGGGGGAGTCCCCAGACAGCCAGACCCAACATTTAGCTCGAAGTTGGTACTGATTTTGGTTATAGAGTCTTTAGAACTATATAAGTCACTCCTGTAGGTCACTTCGAGGGAAAATCAATTACCGTTCAACTTAGTCACCTAGGTGACTCAAAATCATTTATTATTTGCGGTAGCAAAGATTGAAGGGCTGTATTATCAAGCTTAAAACATTCAGTAGAATTGTGTCTAAAGTTTTTTTAAGTATAATGAAAAATAAAAGTAAAATAAACGCTCTATAATGTAACTATGTATAAAAGTACCTAATGCGCTTGCCAATAAAAAAAAAAGTATTGGCAATTTGCTTAGACTTAATCAAAGAGTTTGACATAGTAAACTATGATACATTTATCGAAATGTTAACTAGTTTTTAAATCAATAATTAAACAGTGTAAAATGGATAGTGAGTTACCTAAACAGTAGAACTCAAATGGTAAATATAAATAGTGTTCTTGGTGACAAAAAGAAGGAAAGTGTGTTTAGACTATTTTGTTTATTTTATACATAGGTAGCATTTGTAGGTTATGCATATGGGCAAATTATAATATACGACACTTGTCTACATTTCTTGAATTACTAGTAGAATAATGTACGACGAAAAGCAATTAAGGAAACAAAAAGAATTGTAGATTTGTTCGAAAATAGGAAGCTATCACTTAATATCAATAAAACATTTTTTATGACCAATTCCATAAGCAACACACTTATTCCTATTAATGATGTAACTGTTCATATTCATAACAACAATGATGTAGGTGGCGGCAGTAGATGTAAGCACATTTTCAGAGTACAGAGAATTCGTTATTTAGCACTTACACGTCAGTTATAATTTTATGAAATAACAATAAACGATACATACATTTTATTCCCTTAGCCCAGTTATATTAAAGGATTGTACTTGTTTATCTAGAATATACATTAAAACCACTCATTGTACAGAAGGATTTGTCTGGGAAAGCATAGTCTAGTTGATTCTACTATTACTATTTTTCTCCATCAGGTACGATGAAAAGCATCTGATATTTTAAAATGGATACCACTAGAAAGAATGAGCACCTAAAAAAAACCCCCTACAACTTTAACGGATCTCAGTTATTATCCCTTGGGTGATTTTCTACGGTCAATCTCTAGAAAATTGAATAAATCATTGAAAACGTAATTTACAGACTCCAACACATTTTTCCAGGGACTGAAACCGATATTGGATACCGATTTTGAATACTGAATTAGACAGTTAAAACCGGAACGATATCGAAACTCAAAACAAAATTAAAAAAAAAATAAGTATCGATATTCAAAACCGGAATCGAAATCTGAAAAAATCATTTTGGTTTCAAGCCTGCATTTTTCTATCATAGAATTAAACTTTTTAGTTGCAACTGTTTTCCTTCTAGTTGAAATCTTTAAAACCCTAGATCATCTTCTGAGCCTGATGTTCCCCTAAATATTAGATCGAAAAGCCTTTTTATATATAATATAAAACCTAATATAGATACTACCTACCATTGGTAGGTACTATGGTACTACCTACCTGCCATTAAATGTAACAGTGGATATATTATTTCAAGTTCTAATAATTTGTGCGGTAAGACACAAGCTCCATTTAATATTAAAAAGCCCTGTATTTGACACTGTAGTGTAACACTTGTATATTTTCAGTTAGACACCAGTGTACAAGTATTTGGTACACCGCATTACCTCGAGCACTTACAGTTCCAGCAGTATTAACTATTTAATGTTGGGACACCTAACAACTGCTGTTGAAACCCATTTAATTGAAGTTACTATCAGTGCTTAATTTTTTTTTTGTATCAGGTGTGTTTGGGTATGTATGGAGGCTGAGCTCCCTACTATTAGATTCTGAGCAAGGTGATAAATGCATTGATTTTACAATGATCTGTGTTTATTTTTATTTGTGTCTGTGTACACGATAAGTAGTTGAATAAATGCTTCAATTTTCATCTTTAGTATCATTTCCGGTGGGAAAGACGGAAAGTGAGTCTAGTTGGTTGCATTCAGGAAAACAAAATTTAAAATTCTCAAATTTTTTCAAAACAAACAAAAAATTTAGAAAGAACAAGAATTCTTAAGCATATGTTTTTGACAAAATTGATTTTGATTTTTGGTGTAACTTTAAAACAAATTGCCGTAGATACATGACATTTTCAATGAATGTACATATTTGATATTAGCATTATTTATACACCATAACATTTTCAAAATACTTTGACTTACGATAAGCTATTATAAAAGGCATATGAAATGTTCGGTTATTAAAAAAACTAATGTCGATAAAAACATTTTCACTTTGACAAAAAACTTTAAAATGTAATACAAGGTTTATCGTAAGTTGCTATTAGTGTAAATTAAAGAAAAATTTAAGCTTAAATTTACAATATTTTTGTGTGAGCGTCTGAATATCGAATTTTGACAGAATACTTAAAAATCAAGAACATTTGGAAAATTATTTTGAGTTAGAAATTCGTAAAAAATTGTCCTTTCATATTTAAGATTTGAAAATTAAATTTAAGATTTTATCATAAGTTTGTCTATTTTTAATAATAAAAAAAGTTTACTGTAAAGTTAAGTTCAATTTTTATGAAGGTTTGATGTTCAAATTTTAGAACATAGGATATTCACTCGATTTCTCACCAAACAATTATTTCATCACTTTTTGTCCTTGAAAATTATTTGATTCGTTTTGAGCTGTTTACTGACATTTTCAGTTCTTAATCTTTTTTTATCTTTGTGTTTTTGTAAATGTCAATACAATTTTATTCGTTGAGCCATAAAGCTTGAAAATTTAATACAAGTTTCAAGATATATTGTTACAATAGTAGTTGAAAACTATTAATAATTCATAAACAAGTTTTTTTTATAAGCATTTTAAGAGAAATCTGGACGAAATTACATATTAAATAATCAAGAATAACGATTTTAGTTATATTGTTGAAATTTAAAAATGTTATACATGGGTACACCTGAAACTTCCTTAGTATATTATTATTTTTTAAACACACAATGACTTTTCAAATGTAATTTTTTTGGCAACAATTTATTTAATCTAATAGCAGAGCGAAATTCATTTACCCGCTTTTTTTATGTAATTTTTGCGTATCCCAACTATTTTTTTTTCTTAAACGTCCGGGACGATAATATAAGCTAATGCCCAAAATAAT